CTTTCCTACTTCTCATGATTAGAATTGTTTTCTTTGTCTTCTGTGCTCCCCTTGCTCTTAATGTCTCTGTAATAGGGCTAACAACAGCCTACCTCATATTCCAGTTATTTGTGTGGTTCTGACTTGCTTATTATGCTGGTGACTCCAAAAGCAGGGTACTTTTATTGTCCATGTGTGTATCTCTCACAGAGCTCCTTTGCCATAGTAAGAGCTTCCTGAATGAATATTAGTGGACTTGAACTTCCAATGAAAATATTTGGCATGTTGAAAGTGAGTTGCATACATATATAAGACCTTACTTCCTGAGATAGCATTTCTTGCTGAATACTTAGATCATGAAATGGAGAATCTACTCTAGAAGACCTAACTTCCAGGGGCACCTGGATAGCTCAGTCAGTTAAGGCGTCCAACTCTTGGTATCAGCTCAGGTGGTAATCTCAGGGTCGTGATCTCTGGATCATGAGATTGAGTCCTGTGTTTGGTTCTGTGCTCAGTGGAGAGTCTGCTTAAGATTCTCTATCTCCCCCCTCTCCCTCTGTCCCATCCCCAACCTCAAAATAAATAAATACATCTTTAAGAACTAACTGCCAGCATCTGGACATGTGAAGAGTCTAATCAAGCTTAAATTGAGCTACAGAGTGAATTTGTCTTTCACAACTAATACGCCTGCCAGTCTTTCTTTTTTTTCTTTAAAGGAAGAACACTTGAATTAATGGTTCCATGTTAGTATGGGTTGATTTTATTGATTTTGTGCTGGCAGTTGATTAATTACAAAGACAGGCATCGTGCTTTTTTGTTCTTGTCCCTGACTTAAAAACTCAGGTGTGACTCATGCAAAAGCTGATGTCACAAAGACCCTTGATTTCTGAGGATGCTGTAAGTGGTATCATAATGATTATTAGATTTACCATTTCTTTTGCCACCTCATGACAGAAATGTTACCTCAAAAAACTCAGTTGCAAAATTTTGCATTTGCCACGTAAGTGAAGCTGGACTTTCTGTCACCTTACCTCCATGGAATTTTACAAAGCAGGTGTGAGTGTGAGTTTCATTTGGAAATTATTTCTTACACTCCATTCTTCTCCTTATCCTCCTTCTTTTTCTCGTCCTCCCCTCCTTCTCCTTGTCATCCTTCCCTGCCACATACTCTGTTGCCAGTTACAGCAGTGAATAGGAATCTTCTTATCTTGGGACCCCTGGGTGGCTCAGTCAGTTGAGCGCCTGCCTTCAGCTCAGATCATGATCCTAGGGCCCTGGGATTGAGTCCTTCATCTGGCTCCCTGCTCAGTGCGGAACCTGCTTCTTTCTCTGTCTGTCATTCTCTCTCTCTCTCTCTCTCTGACAAATAAATAAAATTTAAAAAAGAGAATCTTCTTGTCTGTAGAATCATATGGTCCATATAGATGTTTTCTCTTTTCTATCTAGTAAAATGTTCTAATGAGTATCCAGCACTGATTAGGACAAAGGGGAACTCTCCTGTTTTAGGCTCTGTGTAAGCCTTTGACATCAGGGCTTTAGGAAAAACACCCTCTCTCAGGCAATTGAATTGCTTTGTCCTGAATTGACTCAAGACAGCTTGAGCACTAGTCTCGACTCCACCATGAGCCATCTCTGTATCCTTGGGCCACTTTGACTCTTTGTGTTTTGGGTTCCTCATATTTAGGATGGAGAGCCTTCTATTTCCTCAACTTTGTAAAAAAGACAGGGAGAGCTGTTGTGTCTCAGTATCCAAGGCCTTTGGAAAAGCTGGGTATTCTCAGGCACACTGTGAACTTGTCTACATTTGGGAGCCAGTAAAATGTAGGGAGGGATCACACAAGAAACCTGATGCTGAACAGCTGGATTGCAAAATAAATGTTTTAGAAGCCAGCCACACCATTATGAGTTTGTCAGAAGCATAGGGGGCTTTGCTTTTCTTAGAATCTCCCCAAAGGAGGGGTTATCCAAAGGCTTTTCCCAAAGCCTGGGTGGGGGCAAAAAGGCTTGGGGTTGAAGGAGGGTGGGTCATGGTAACAGCAACCCCCAGAGCAATCTGTGAGGGCTTTTTGTCTTACAATAGGATATCATGGCGTGTCACTGCAATGACTGCTTTTTGAGCTTTTGGATTTTCTTCTTGGGAAGGAATTTCCACAAACACCTCCAAAATGAATGTTCTGGTGCCTTTTGGGGGCGGGGTTGACTTTTGAAGCATTTGCTCAATTCTTTTCATGGCTAGTTGTTGGTTGAAATTTTTCTAGTTCTTCTTGAGTCACTCTCATTATTTACATTTTCCTTTAAAATCATTCATTTCATCTAAATTTTCAAACTAATTAGCATATTTCTGCAAAGAAGAACTTTTGAATGTACAATCATTATTCCTTTCTTATTCCTAAATTTGTGTATTAGTGTTACCTTTCAAAACCTTTCAATGTTAGCTCCTGTTGTCTGCCAACAAAAAATTTCTTTTTTGTTCCAACTTTTTTGCCTTTGTATGTCCTTACAAAGTCTGCCTCTTATTTTCTTTACATTTGGTTGAGGCAAAAACAGCCCTTGCTAAATTCTCACTATGTGATTAGCACTCCACCAGGAACCATGGAGAGATACAGAAAAAGGGATAAACTTGATTGTTAGATTCAGGAAACTTGGGAAGAATGAGGGGAATACTCATGAGAATACAGGCAGGTCTTGAAACAAAGTGCTACCTCCTGGAGGCTACTACCAGAGGGATACTCAAGGATGAGGTTTCCCTAAACCCATAACTAAAACTTAAGTCAGATCCAGGGCCAACCTTGAGCACGGGGACTTTGCAGAGATCTTCAGGGTCAAGGAGGCACCAGGCGGTAAACAGTTTGGAGACACACAATGTATCAGAATTAGGGGCTTCAGATTTTCTTGAGCCAAGGTCCAAGATATCAGTTGGAGTCAGCAGCAGGGTGCAAAGCCATGTAACTTCTGTCATTGGATTTGCCACCAGGGCAATATGGAGGATGCTGATTGAACTAACAGTGCCAGCCAGTGACTGTGTCATTTGGATATGGTACTAAGAAGTTCCCACAGCACCTACAGATACTACTATCCTAGCATTCATGACACTACATTGAGATGCTACTTCCTAGCATTCATGGCACTCTGTTGAGTATCTCACTCCATCAGACTGTGAGCTCCATGAAGTCATGGACTGAGTCTTACACATCTGTGTCTCCCCAATGCCTGAACTATGCATGAGTACTTTGTATTACTGCATGGCCCAAAGCACAGTCTTTGGAGTTGGATGGATCTGCTTTTGTTCAGCTTCATTACTTTCCACCTGAGTTATCCATGTATTGTCTCTGGGCCTCAGTTTTCTCATCTGTGAGACAGTGATGACAATAATATCAACCTCTTGAATTTAGGGTGAGAGTAAAATGAGATGAAAGGTTTGGAAGTACTTAGCAGACTGCCTGTCACAGAATAAGCATTCAGTTAGTGGTAGCTCTTAATTGTCATTACGTGATCACAGGATAAATGGGTGAGGGACAAGTGGGTTGAAGAGGGATGCTGGCCTGTTTGATGAGGTCAGGACCCAGGGCTGGGAAGAGGCTTAATAGGAGCAACACTGGCAATCTTCCAAGTCTCCCTCCCTTATCTTGGCATCTCCTGGATGATTGGGAGGCTGAGATAATGGGGATAATCTAAGCATCTCTCACTGTGTAAATCTTGCAATCATCTTGGCTGGGTGGGCAAGGATAGGATAGACCCTGGGTGGGGGATGATGTTATTAATATAAACATTTTTTCAAATGTGAAATATTGCTCTCTGCCCCCAGAAAGCTGTTATTAGTTTGTGAGCACTGTGCCTTTGGAAAGCCATTGCTGGCAGCTTGAATGGGTAGCTTAGAACAATTAGGAGCTTTGAACACTTTCAAGTTAAGGATTGGGATAAGAATGTTTTGACTCTATGGTTTCTCCTGGGATTTCCCTGGTGTGCTGGACTAATTATCAAATGTAATTAGGAAGCTGAGAAGTGGAGAGACTGCAGGGAGGAACATACTTTCCCAGGGACCCTCATTTCTTTGTACAGAAAATGGGTTAGGGAGACTATCACTCTGTTGTGGAGAAGCAGCAATGCATAGGGCACTAGAGGGCAGGAAGGACCTGGGAACATGGCTTTACCAGCAGAGCCTCAAACCTATGGGGACTCATTGCTCTTGATTAATTTTTAAGTGATCAGGGCAGCTTACCCCCTTGTTCTTGAGGGAGTAATGGTATTCTGTGCCACATCCATGTTCTTGATCCATTTTTAGCAAAATTCTAATTTCCTGGGTCTAAATCAGTAAGGAAATGGTGCCCTTCTTTCAAAACTCATGGAGATGAAGAGAGGAACTTCCACATCTTGGTCAGCCACAGGGTCTGTCTATGTGGGTCAGAAGAACTTTCTCATCTGACTTGGCTTACCCCTTTGACCCCAGAGTTGGGCTAGGAGCTCTGTCTTTGAAGCTCTGAGAAAAGTAACATTTGCAGGGTCAGATACTTGTGAACTTTTATTCAAAAGCAGAGACATTCCCTTTGGACATGGTCTTGAAATTTTTGTTGTTGTTCTTCTTCTTCTTCAGTGGAGACACATGAGTGGGGAAGGACAGAGGGAGAGGGAGAGAGAATCTTAAGCAGGCCCAGTGCCCAACATGGAGCCTGACTTGGGGTTCAATCTTATGAACCTGAGATCATGACCTGAGCCGAAACCAAGAATCAGATGCTTAACTGACTGAGCCACCCAGGCACCCTAGTCTTGAAGTTATTCTTAATGCAGTGGAAACAAGACTACCACATATGAAACATGGAAAGACAATAGCATTCCTCTGTATCTTTATTCACTGGGGGTTATGATGGAGACCATGAGCCTAGTAGTTTGAAAAATGAAGATCCCTGGGGCTTAAGATGATGGCCCAGATGTGAAGATTCTCCCCCCTGCCCCGCCAAAATGATATTAAATTTATTGTCACAAGATTATCACATATAAATCCAATGTCTCTGCTCTCTCCACAGGTAACCTGTCTCCATGATTTCTTTGGTGATGATGATGTGTTTATTGCCTGTGGTCCTGAAAAGTTTCGCTATGCTCAGGATGACTTTTCTCTGGATGAAAATGGTAAGCACAACTACTGGACTTCGTTGCTCCATTGTTCACCCTCCTTCTATCCCTTAGTATTTCCATGGGTTCATATGGCCCGGAGAACATCCATGCACGGACCCTCAAGGGCAAATATTGTTATTCATTCTCCTGTATGTTGGGCTACATGAGTCACTAAGTGAAAGGTTGACTGAATGTCCCAGATTCCCAGCCTCCAAACTCAATAAAACTCACTCTCAGCCCCAATAGTGACCATATTTCTCAAACCACATATTGTGTCACATGGGCTGACAGGTGCAATCAAACTATGGGAAGGAACATTTGGAGTCAGAACTTGGATATTATACGTATAACTTTTTTCTAGTCAACATCCTCCAGTGACTTGGCTCATATCGATGGTTCCATTTTAGAAAGATTTTCCACTGTGTTCTTAGTGTCAAATCTTTCCCCTCTTCCTGCTTTCTGGCTTGCTGCCCCATTCCCCCTGCTTTGTGACTCAAGATTCCAGAGGTTGTTAATCTCAGGAAGGAGGTAAACATCTGCCCACCTCCCCTTGCTTGAGTCCAAGTTCCATGTGGAAGTTAATGGTGAATTAGCTCATACAGCAACAAGGTTAGGATATGATCCTGATGGGAAGACACATTCAAAACATCTTTCCCAATTATGAGGGGTAACATGTGAGAAAAACAAACTGAATTGTATTAATATGGACTTTACCAACAGCTCGAATGACAAGGACTCTGACAGAGGTGGCATTTCTGCTGTGTTCACTTTGAGAAGAGACAAATAGCCATAAAATAGCTAAGCAAATCCCAGGCTATCTCCCATTTCCTATACCTTTTATATCTCCAGCTCTGGACAGTGATCCCTGAAGTTCATCAACCAAAACAAGAAGTAAAACAAACAAAAATGAGCTTTCTACTTAACTTAGTTTCCCCCAAAAAACTCAGTTTGCCAGAAAGGATTCCCTAATCTTTGTGGGTAATTGATATTTCAATATATCTTCAAGTAGGAAGTGACAAGGAAGTGTCCAAAGAAAAGACTGCCCTCTTCCTAGCTGTGTGGTTCCATGTTGAGCATCATGGCACAAGGCTGGAAAAACTACACTGTAAAGAACACTAGATTGGGACTTGGGAGACTTGGTTGCTAGTCCTAGTTCTGCTGTTTCCTTGCTTCGTGGCCCTAAGCAAGAGGCTTACACTCTTTATAGTCTCATCAGCAAAGCAAGTATGATAATTCTCCTAATACATTAGTACGATCAGTGTCCCCAAATTGCCACAGTAGGGACTCTGAGTGACCTGCATAGGAAAGGTGCCCCAAGCATGGCAGACCGAAGTTGAGGCAAGTAGCAGAAACATTTGGCAAATGCCCCTACACACCCAAGAGCTTTCTATAAGCTCTGAGTGACAGAGTCACTGTTGGATCTTTGATTTATTAAACCAGCACAGGGATTTATGGTCATGCACGTTGAAAATCAAAAAGAGGTCTGCAAATGCATGGTGGTGGTGGTGTTAACGCCTAGTTATAAAGTGACATGACATCCCTAATATGCCTATTACAATACATGGCATGTAATGAACAGTAAATGGCAACTCCCTCTTCTTCCTTTAAATTACTCATGAATGTTTCATCTGTGTGGCTGTAGCCTCAGAGCTGTCAATCCCTTCTTCAAGGAAATTAATTCATTATGTCAACAGGTGCTATTCTAAGACGTGGCCTGGGTGCCCACAAATGATCGAGTTGACTATTTAATAACCCACTCAACCTGCTTTTCAACTTCTTCCCTTGTTTCCATAATCCAGGGATTTAAACACCTGGCTTGGCCCAGATGAATTCTGAAAGTTTCTCCCATGCCTCCTCGCTCAGGGCCATCATTCCTACCAACAATGAGGACCACCTCGTAGTCCTGAACCACTGGGTACTTTGGCCCATGCTGGTTACTCTAGTTTCTAGAAGTTGGTAATATGCCAAAGGCTCATTTCTCCCCTGGCTTTACTGCGCCGTCTGTTCTTTTCTACCAGAATGCCGAGTCATGAAGGGAAACCCATCGGCCACAGCAGGCCCAAAGGCATCTCCAACGCCTCAGAAGAGTTCAGCTAAGAGCCCCGGCCCTATGCGCCGGAGCAAGTCTCCAGCTGACTCAGGTAACGACCAAGACGGTGAGTGCTCTTCTCCTAACTGTGCACGCTGACTTCATTTACGGAGACCCACACCCTCTGCATGCAGGGGAATGAGTTCCTCATGAACACCACTGTGTCTCCATGACACCAGCTCTCTCAGTTCAGAGACTATCCAGCCAAACTTGTTTGGAGTCATGGAGACACAGCTATGACCCCCGATTCTACTCAGATGGGTTGAGACCAGAAATCTGGCCTTTTTGTCATGCTTGCTGTAATGCTTATTGTCATGTTTGTTTTCATAGTCATCATCTTCAACATCATCCCACAAAAGCAGAGTCAAGGAAATAATCAAGTCAAGCATAAACTTGAAATAGAAAACTAAAATCGAAAACAAAAATGTAAAAAAAAATTGCCACCCTGAAGTGTCAACAGAGTTGACACGCTTGAGCTTCAAATTTGACTTTTAACTTTGTAGAAGTCAAAACAGAAAGAGAAAAGAAATCATTTGCATCATTCTCACAATGAGAAAAAAAAATTACATAGGCCAGGTTCTGAAAGGAAACACAGAGATTTGTCACACAGGATTTTAATTAGTGGATAGTGAGTGATCAAAAAAAAATGTGGTCTAAGGATCACTGCCAATGCATGAACTATTTATCAGTCTGTGACAAGATTAGAAGCTTGTTCCAAATGCAAATTATGCCACTAAGCAAACATTTACTTCAGCTGACTCTTTTTTTTTAGCATGATTTTTTTTTTTTTTTTAAGAAAAGCAGCAGTGTGTTCTTTTAAGTTCGGGTGCAAAAGCTTGCACCCATGGTTTGAATGACACTGATCTGAAAGGTAAAAGGCCACAGAAGTTCAAGTTTAGAAACTTAGTAAAGTCAGGGGCAGACAGTGTGAATTCTTCATGGGAAGGCAATTGTACAGTCCAGAAGACACATCCCTCACCCCAAGGCTCGACTGACCATGAAAATTCTTCTAGCCTGGGAGTCTGGGAGCTTTGGGGCGAAGAGCACAAATGCCCTTTCTCTCTTCTTCGGTTTGAGGCAGCTTGAGCAGCCTGTTCGCTTTGAAATGCTCATGGCCTAGAAAAACAGCCTGTCCTGCTGGCCTCATGCTGCCAGGAACATGCACAGCACCAGCCATATTTTTTTTTCCCTCGGGCAGAAGGAACTAAACTGTGAAGAGGCAGCTTGAGATTTGCATACTTCCGTGTCTTTGCTCATCCCATTTCCCTGCTCCTGGAATGCCGTCCCTTGAGCCGACCACTCCTCTCTGCTTGAAAATATCTGTTCGTCATTCAACACATCAAATAGAAATAGTTCCCATTCTGTGCACTATCAGAGCATGTTCTTCATGTATCTGGTGTAATATTCACCACACTGTGTTGTAAAGTCTGTATTTACCTGTCTACTATCCCCTCCCCCAACTAAATACTGGGCCCCTCAAGGGCAAGATGTCATGTTCATTTTGTATCCTCAGTGCTAAGCACAGTGTCTGGGTCCTAGCCGACGCTCAAATAATGTTTGTGAATGAAGAGACGTGTAAGAGTGACTAGTTTACCCAGCATGCTGCTAGAGACTTAGTTAGCTTTTAGGGAATATTTGCTAAAGGAACAAAAGTGCATGAGTTTGGTGATATTTTGGTGAAGTGTACAAAACAACACATGAATCTAAGTAAATTTATATGGGTTACACTATGAAGACCAAGGTTTTAACATTTGGGCTAAAAATGAAATTATTTGTACAAATTCTAGGCAGGGCTTTGGAAAAAAAGAATAGACTTTAAACACTTGGTCAAGATTCATAAACTCTGGCAATAACTGCTTAACCAATCATTTTTTTCAGAAATATCACTGACCACTTCTGTGATTTCTAATCTATATTATTTATCTCTTGCTATGAAACAAATTACCCCCAAACTTAATGGCTTAAGACAACAAACATTTATGATTTTATCATTTCTGCGGGTTAGGAATTTTGGATTGCTTAACTCTGTGGTTCCCTCTGGCTCAGAATCTATCATATAGTTGAGGTCAAAGTGTCAGTGGGGGCCACAGTCATCTGAAGGTTCAATGGGGACTGTGGGATCTGCTTCCAAGATAGCCATGAGCAGGATCTTCTCCCAGAGAGTGATTCAGGAGAGTGAACAAGGAATATGTAGTGCCTTTCATGATCTAGTTTCCAAGGCCACATACTATCACTTTTGTTTTAGTCTATTCATTAAAAGCAGTCATTAAGTCTGGCCCATAGTCAAGGAAAGAAGAATCAGTCTTCACCTCTTGAGGGAAGGTGGACTTGTTTTTAGACTGCCAACAATTTGTGGACCTATTTTTCAACCACCCCATAACCTATTAGTTAAAAATGCTGAGACGGCAGCAGCTTGAAGTCAATAGATTCTCTGCAGACTGTATCCAGGTGGGTTACCCAGCACATGTGAACACAACCACCTGTAATTAAACACAGCTTAAACATATGTCAAGTTATTGATCATCAGCACTGCCTGCAGAATTTCCCTTCTAGAAATTATGCATCTCACTGACTCTAAGATACTAGAGACCAAGAAAGAATACATTAGGACTCAATGAATAATTGTTAAATTAAAAGGAATTATAATAGATTCCAACCCAAAGGCAGGCAAGATCTTCTTTTGCTCCTTCAGAACTCCCTTGCCGAAAAGAAGGAATGAGCAGAGATTCACACATACAAGATAAAAAGAGTAACCCAATTTGAGGCAGGGAAAGGAGACTTGACTTGGTAGATACCAGAACCACAAACAGCTCTTGCTCCCTATCAGCAAAAAATCCAAAGTGGTATTCTCATGAGAGAGAATGTAAATCTTTATTTCAGATAGTTCATGAACAGAAATGAAGCCAAACTCTAGTCTATCCAGCCTTAATGGCAATTTCCAAAATGTTTGAGCTCATCACAGATGATGTGTCTACATCTTCCGCATGATTTCAGGCCCAATGCATAAAAGGATCTGTATAACATGACCTTGTCCATTCCATGGCAGTTTAGAGCCACGTCCAGGCCATCCATTTAGTGAACATTCCACAGGGGCAAAGCTGATCTCAGGCAAAACAGTACTTCAGGTAAGGTTTGGATTTGACATACCCATTTTCCCCTTCCCACCTCCATGTCACTCAGGACCATTCCAAGCTGCAAAGTGGAGGGGAAGGGGATATGGAAGAGGAGAGAGAGGCCTCTGTGTAGGAAGGCCCAGTGACATCATTTCCCAGCTTTTTTACTTGGGACAAATTTCTTACCTTGTCTAAGACTTGGTTTCCCATTTGGTTAAGACAGAATTCACATGTCTAATAGGCAAAAATCATTTTCCAGTATTATCAGTTATTTCCAATTTATAGAGTTGTACAATAGCTTCCACGGAATCAGAATTGAATAGCTAGAAGGATGAGCTATAGACAATGCATAATTTTGCATCAGGAAGTGTAAGGTATTCCTGAGCTCTCAGCAAGGGATGTAGGCAGGTTAATGCACATTTAACCGAAGAATAATGGTGTGGAGTGGGGCTGAAATTCCCTGTTCTTTTCTAGGACATGGCAATGCCGCCCTGTTTCCATCCTGGGTTTGTCTGTCTTGGATCTGGGACTTGTGGGATGGATTCACATTTTTTTCATTCAACCTGAGTAACCCAAGGTTAAGGAAGATAGGCCATTTCCAGGGAATTTTAACTACCTTCCTTTGAAGGCAAACAACAGCCAAAAATGTTCCACTGCAGCAGGGACTCAAACCAAACGAAACATTGGCTCAGTTCAGGTTCAGCTAAAGGAATGTTTTGATGTTCTAGTTCATTAGAAAATATATAGGTTTGATTCTGGTTTGAACAAGTTTGCTAGATTTTCAAATATTTTTTAAGAAGAGCAGAGAAATGGAATTGGGAGAAAGCAAATATTTATTTAAAGCTATAAAATAAAACAAATCTTTCAGAAGAGAATACTAGTGAATGAATAAGAGCAATGAGTCAATTACACATCCATCCATATATGTGTGTGTACATTTGATCCAATTCATGGTTCAGTTAATATCTGGGTTCGGTTTGCCTTGAGGTTTAGTAAATTGATGTGATCTGGTCTGTAATTTGCATCATAATTTGATTCCTTGGTCCTTAAATTATCTTTTTTTTTCTGTTCTTCCCATGAATAAATCAAACTCTGTATACTTTATTCTCTTTGAGTTCAATTCCCACTCCTGCCAATACTGAGGGCACCCCAAATGGAATCTGTCTGTTGCTAAGCCCTACACGTCAGTTAAGGAAGGATTTGGTTGTCTATACAATATTGCTAGAAGGAGCTCTCATTCTCTCTGGGCAGAGCTGATGGACTTTTAGAATCCAAGTCCCATTAGCCATGTCTGTCTTTAAAATAGGACAGGGAACTGTGGTAAGCAGATCAAATCTGAGCCCAGAGGTCTCCTTTGGGGGGTTTGAAGAAAGCTTGTATAGTACCCCCATTTGGATTAACCCAGGAGTTGCCATTTTGGTGGGCAAAAAGACAAGCCCAGCCTGAGAGCTGCAGGAAGACCTTTCTGGGGCATCTCTTGCTGTTTCCATTTCAGCCATGAACGTGTTAACTTTTCCTTTTTTGCAACTACCCCCAATTGAACTCAATTGAATTAAAAGGACAAATTAGCTAGTTGCTGGGAAGAAATCCTTTCTTTTTCTTTCTTTCTCCCCCCCCCACCTTTTTTTTTCTGAAGGAGCCTCCAAGGAAGCTAATTATCAACGCTGGTAGGCTGAGAGAATTGTAATGTGATAATTAGTTCGTTGTTGTTCAGCAGTAAGTCATTGTTGCAGCAATTCAATATTCCCCACCCTCCTTCCCCCAACCTATGCATACCTAGTCCTGAAAGTCAAATCTTCCCTATTCCCAAAGCCCCAAGGAAGAATGGATTCACTACCAAAATATACAGCCTTTGTAAGGGGAGGTCAAGGGACACAAAACAGCGGTGAAGCAGCGGGGTTGGGGGGAGGTGTCCATGGGACAATTGTATCCAGGAGTATTTCTCTTCTGAATC